GTGGGGTGTGGGTGTGGGTGTGGATGTGGGTGTAGATGTGGGTGTGTGGGTGTGGGTGTGGGTGTGGGTGTGGATGTGGGTGTGGGTGTGTGGGTGTGTGGGTGTGGGTGTGGGTGTGGGTGTGGGTGTGGGTGTGGGTGTGGGTGTGGGTGTGGGTGTGGGTGTGGGTGTCGGTGTCGGTGTGGGTTGGTGTGGGTGTGGGTATGGGTATGACTGTCACCGCTTTATCAATTGCTACGCCCACACCCACCCACACCTACACCCACACCCACACACCCTAAAATAACTGATAAGTTTTTCGATTAGAATGTGAATTTCTCTTACATTGAAGTTGCAGATGATGAACATAGTCAAACATCATGAGAAACGACTACAGTTGCCGTATTTCACTAATCAAATATGTTTCAAGTTTCCTTAGTTCAGGGATTGAGTATAGTTTAGTGACACAACAGTATTTAATTAAGAATGAAATTTTTCACATTCAGATTTGTCAATTTTGAACATTTGAACACGATAATTCGCCAAATCGACTACGTACAAGTTACCATGTCGATCGAATGACAAATCAAATGGTTCAGTGAGTTGATCAGGTCCATTACCTGATTCAACACCTCCAACAATCACAATACCTTCTTTGTTTCCTTTTAAATAACGCATCACTCGATTATTCGAAGTGTCAGTCACGTAAATAGAACCCATTTGATCAACAACGACTGAAGTAAGAATACTTAACTGATTCATTTCACTGCCTGGTTCATTCCCACCAGCAATCAGAATGCCTTCTTGTGCGTTTTCGACCCATTTCATTATTCGATTATTGAGATGATCAGCCACAAATACGGATCGATCTTTATCAATAAATGAATAGAATGGCTTATTGAGTTGATTGAAATCTGAACCTTGTCCATGTCCACCAGCGACAATTTCTCCACTTCTATTTGTTCCAATATGCCATCGAGTGACACGATGTTCACGAAAATCAGTGACATACAAAAATTGATTACTTTGAATCATCAAACCAGCACAAGATATATTTGAAAGAAATGTTTCTCCATTAGAAGCGCCTCGTGGCCATCGAATCACTCGACTATTCCCATAATCACAAATAAACATTGTCCCATTCTTGTCAATAGCAAGATCAATGGGATAAAATATACCATCG